TCCCTGCTCATGGCAGGGGGCTTGGAACTAGATGATCTTCAAGGTCCCTTCCAACCCTTACCATTCTATGATTCTATGATTCTATGAATCTATGGTACAGCAGTCTGCTTTGACTGTGGGATCTTTGATGCTGAAGCATCTTGCAACAAACTCACACATTTGTAAAATGTAGAAATGATACCCATGTTGCTCTTTTATAACAAACTTCAAATTTAAGCCAGTAGGTGAGCGTAGCGAATCAACACATGCATCCATATGATACATTAAAGCTGTAAATACATAAGGACTGGTTAGGATCTCTGGTTTCACCTGAAGAGCAACAAAAATGAGTTTGCAAGCACAGAACCTCGTAACCTCCACCTTGCCAGAGACGGACTTGCCATCCAGCCTAAAAAGTGATGACCAGTAAAATGGGTAATCACAGGGTAGTGATGAAATTCATTGTCCATTTCTCACTTGTATTCTGTCAAGCAAGCCCTGCCTTAGCATATGGACTCCTCCCTGGTCTGTCTTGAAGCTGAAAGGGTCAGATTTAAACTTATAACTGGAAGTAACAGTAGGATCACTTGAACCCAAGACAGTAGGTTCCCAGTCCCAAAGCTGCCTCTTAGTTATGTAACTTCAGAGAAACCATTTGAAATTATCATCTTAGTTCTGAACTTTTAACCTAAGGGTTATAAGGGGACAGTTTCATCTGAACTGATGAAATCTGTTCTATTTCTTTGCTCGTTTGCAGATATCTTTGTGGTAGCCTTAAAGCTGTTAGAGCTTGACAGATATGCAAAAGCAGCAGAGCGTGGTACGCCAGTGCAGTAATTGTGCCCTCCCAGCATGATTTAACACTGATCCCAATCTAGACCAAGAGAAATGGACATGACATAGAAAAGTTTATCTATTTTTCAAAGTCTTGCTCAAATCACCAGCTTCCTATCATATAGTGCGGTCTAGACTGATAATAAGCCGGAATTTCCACAGGAGCTGATGACACTCTGTATACTCAAACTCACTTGTGAAACCCACAGGATACGTGCACGACAACAGATGAATACAAGCAGCATGTGGCTGACCAATACCTCAAGCAGTCAGACGGCTTTGTGGCAGCCTGCACATACTCTAGCAGCTCACATCAGGAAAAAAAGCAATCTACTTTCTCTTTGGACAGTGTAACACTGTGCCTGCTTTGAGTAGCCTTTGTAAAATAACTGAGGTCATTCACAAGTAGGCAAACTGGAGATGGCCAAAATGATCAAGTCTTTCCGAGGTATCCGATGCCTTGTGAAGGGTGTATCTGGAGACAGCTGTGCTAATTTGTGGGTTTGCCTTACGGGCTTGATTAAGGATGTGGGGCCAAGATATGATCTGCCGTTGTACTCGCTGCCTGTCCGTGCACAGCCAGCGTAACCACGAGTAACACTGCTGAAGTATTTAGACAAGCTACAAGATGCAGGGGTGTAGGGACGCCTGTGAGGAGCAGGCATCTCAGAGATGAACCATACAGTCAGGTCTGTCTCTGCATCCCATAGGTAGACGTAAGCATGGGATCTGAGCCATCAGCTCTCCCAGCACAGAGCTCGCTGCCCCATCTGGGACCTACGCATCTCCTAGAGGAAAGCAGATGGCCTTGAGGGCAGGTTATAACAGTCCAGATGTCCTTGCAGTTAAGCCAGATCAAACAGGTGAACAAGTCATGGGAAGAGGCACGAGACGAGGGAGTGCTCTGAGGCAGTCGAGGATCGAACCTAAATTTGCAGAGAAGCAAGTGTTCAGAAAAAAGAAATGGAGATTTCCCCATCCCCATTTCTTCAATTTGCCATTTAGAGACACTTGCCTCCAGTGAGCTCTTGTGTTCCTTGGGTGTAATTAGCTTTGGTTAATGTAAGGAGATACATCATTCAGTTCTTCACCTCCCTTTCTCCCTCTTCCCAGCCACTTGGCAACTCCACAGCCTGGCTATCCACAATCCCAAAAGGCCACCAAAAAAGAAATCACATACGTACCTGTTGTTCCACGATACCACTTTTCCATTGAGCATCACAATCTCCCAGACCACGCTAACCTGCCCAAGCGGCTGAGCAGATGAGCTGTCTGTTAAGAGGGAAACGAGAGCAAGATGTGGAGGATGGCCCCCAGCAGAAATGTAACAGATAAGTGCACAGGGAGACACACCACTCACTAGAGGAATAGGAGCACAGAAAACATTTAAAATTGTAAAAAGTCTATCCAAGTGCCTAAACAGCATATCCAGCTGTCCCACAGCCAGCAGACACTGTTTAAAGAGTCCATAGCTTAGCCAGCTGCAGAGGTCAGACAGCTGTTGAGAGCTTGCAGAGTTGTAACACCATTGGCTATACAAAAACGTTGGTTAAAACCACTTCAGCCCTTGAGGCAATGTTGGAAAGAGGATTTTTCCCACAATATGTCACAAGACAGCTACCTGTGTGAGGGCAGTGGCTTACGCTCTGTGCCTCAGGCATCTACAAAAGAAACAAGATCCATCCGTCTTCTGAAACACTGGAGATGAACCTTAACTTGTTGTTCAGTGCCCTGATGGTCCTACTGATGATGCTCAGCCTAGAGGCTGAGTGGATCATGTATCTCGCTTGTATGGTCAGGGTAAAATTAATCCCAGATGTGAGATCAAAAAGGAACCCTCCCAGCCCCTGCCCAGGTCAGGTCACCAGGGCTGGCAGTCAGCCTCCCCGGCTCCTGCAAGTTTTAACATATTTCTTTTATAACATATTTCTTTTACATCCTTGGTCATGTCTTTGCTTTCTCCCGCTCTCTTCCAGCTGCTGCACGTGGGAAAAAGTTGATGGGGCTTTTCAGGCTGCTTTCTGCAGGTTTCAGGCATGGGAATATTCTGAGGCTATGGAAAAGTCTGTGCCTGTGACCAAAAGGGTCTCCTCTGGTGTTTTATTGTAAAGTTCCTTGCATTCCTCAAATTCTTTAGGCAATGTGGTTTAAAGTACTTCAGCAACTCCAAAAAAAGAAATCTTTGGCGAGCCAGCAGTGTGCCCTTGCTGCCAAGAAGGCCAAAGGTATTCTGGGGTGCATTAAGAAGAGTGTGGCCAGCAGGTCAAGAGAGGTTCTCCTCCCCATCTACTCTGCCCTAGTGAGGCCCCATCTCGAGTTCTCTGTCCAGTTCTGGGCTCCCCACTTCAAGAAAGATGAGGAGCTACTGGAGAGAGTCCAGCGGAGGGCTACGGGGATGGTGAGGGGAATGGAGCATCTCTCCTATGGGGAGAGGCTGAGGGAGCTGGGTTTGTCCAGCTGAACATGAAGAACTTCTTCCCTCTGAGGGTGACGGAGCACTGGAACAGGTTGCCCACAGGGGTTGTGGAGTCTCCTTCTCTGGAGATATTCAAAACCTACCTGGACGAGGTCCTGTGCAGCCTGCTGTAGGTGACCCTGCTTCGGCAGGGGAGTTTGGACTAGATGATCCCCAGAGGTCCCTTCCAACACCTACCATTCTGTGATTCTGTGACATTTATTTATTTTCTCCACCTCACATATGGAGTCAAGCCCAGGTCTCCCACTAATTCTTACTACGTGCAGTGACAGCTGCCCTCAGGGGCTGCTCCAAAATGACCCAAGCCAGTGGTCCAGAAGGAACAGAAGATGCCCCAAGCTTCAGCATCTGCCTAGGCACTGTGTGGACAGAAACATGGACCAGAATCCTCCCATCACTCTGTCCCACCTGTCCCAGTGCTGCCACCCAGCAGTGAGCAGGCACAGGGTACATCCACAAAGCCCTGCACATCATTGCTGCAAGGTCTGGACAGGATTTGGCAGCAACTTGAACGGGGTAAGCAGACAGTTTTGGGGTGTGCATTGGACTTTGGACCACTCGTGACAAACCAGGTGTTAATGGTATCCCAGTATTAGTTCTCAGATCTGCAACTAACCATTACGCAGAGGTATGATAAGAACACGGGTCTTCCTCACTCCTTGACACTGAGCAGGAGGCCAGATTTCCCTTCCTCTGTATCAGTAGGTGCAGAAGAAAATTGTTTACTAAAAACTCGCCAGCTCCTGTGGATTACTCCTCACTGCAATAACTTTCTAATTAGTAGAAACAGAAATGACTGAACTGTAATGACAAACTACAACGCAACTGCAGGCAAAGAATCTGAAGGGAAAACTAAATACCAAAACCAAAGGAATTCATGTTCTATAACTCTAAACTTCTTTCTTTAATGTGGCTTTCTGAAGACATAGGTAATTGGTACATAACACTCCAAGAATGAAAGGAAGCACCTCAGGAGGTAAAGGTGAGCATGCTGGCTTCCACCAGCTGAGCGCCTGACCTCGTATTTCTAGTTATTTGTAAACTCCAGAGCAGAAAAGTACCTCCTGTGGGAGAGGTTACTCACAAAGGGACTGCTAGAATCAATGTAGTTCCAGGAAGCCTCGCCCCCTAGGGTTAATATGGAAATAAAACAAATGAAACAAAACACTCTTTGTTTTTTTTCCTATTAATCAAACATTTTGGTTGCTGTCCCTGGTCCAGCTAACCTCTCCTTGTTTGGTTTTGTCAATGTGAATTTCTTCCTTTCTTTTGCTGCTGATATGCAACCTGCATCCTCCTGTGCTGCACACGGCCTTCCTAGTCCTCTCCTTCCAGCAGGTTTTACAAGGTACAGTGGGTATTTGACTGAAAATTGGATATTCAGTACCAAGGGCAAAAATAAACAAAACATTCCCCAGGGCAGTTGTGTTTCACCAGAGGCGACCTCAGGCTACGAGAGGGAAGAGGGCAGGAAAGGGGATGCATTTTCTCTCCTCCTCTACAATGATCCCAGAAAAAAACCTAGCAATTCTCCTGGTGTGAAAAGGGACTGAAATAAGCCTGTGCCTCCCCTTGCCTTCAGTCATCTTACTTCCAAAGGTTTAAGAAGGCTGTATGTTGGGAAGCGTGATCAGGAAGATCTCTCTCCCTCTTTCTCTTTCC